GGGAACGCCTATTAAAGGCGTCGGGCACACTGTTTAAAAGTCTCTGTTTGCATCGCTCATACAAGCTTACTTTCCAAAAGATGATTTGACATTTTTCCACTATATCAGACTCACCACCGGTTAGTTAAAATGGAGACGAGCACGTAGGACGGCCCTAAGTAAACATATCACCAGATTGATTGACAATTAAGAGGGCCACTTATATTGATGATCCACCCGGAAAAAGAACATCCCCCTCTATACCTTTAACACGGCCAAATCCTCCTCCATCCTTACCGTCGACAGGCTGCAGCCATCTCCCCAATTCCTTTTTTTCCAGCCACTTTTGTTGAAATTTGCATTTTCCCCATTGTCTATTTTTTTCTCTGCCTTGAGCTTCTTTTCCGGACATATGGCTTTACGATCAAGCAGTGCAAATATATCGCAGAAAAAAATTGTTTTCATAAACTTTTTTTTTTTTTAAATAAAGCATTTTAAATGACACAATAAACACATCTAATGAATTTTAATGCCAATTAAGGCCATAATTAAAAAAATACTAATTTAATGGCTTGAAAAAAATTTTTGTGACCTGCAGAAAGCCTGTTTAATGCTTTAAACCAGGGGTCCTCAATGTTTTCCAGGCCAATGACCCCCAAATTGATGGCGAGATGGAGTGGGGACCCCCTAATTATATATATTAGGGATGCACGATATAATCGGCCCCCTATCGGTATCGGCCTGTATCGGCCTTAAAACTGAATATCGGCCACCCCACCCATATTTAACCCGATATTTGATCAGCTTCTGAGTTTCTAAAGTCAAAAAAAAAAATAAAAAATACTACTTCTTCTTCTTCCTCAAAAACCTCTTTTTTACAGACTTAAAAACTTTTAAAGAGGGAAAAAATATCGATACATTAAAATATCACAATATCTTCATATGCTGATATATTGCCATTTAAAAACATCATATCAATCTCTTTTACTAATGAAATATTGCTATATGTCATCGTTATGCTACGAAATCCCCCGAAAATTCCCGAAATGTTGCCATATTTTTATATGTTGATATATTGACGCGGTATCGATCTATTTTACCAACAAAATCTCACAAGAATTTGCAAAATATCACGAGAGCTTGTAACAGAACGATGAAATTTCACGAGATTTTGAAAGTAAAATAGATCGATACCGCGTTTTTAAAAATCTATTTGATATCAGCATATGAAAATATATTGAGTATATTATTTTTCAAAGTGTCAGAAATGGATAATAAAACTGCTATTTGAAATGACTACTTATTTTTGTCCAGCTTTAACATCAGTATCGGTATCGGTTATCGGCTACATGAGTTTTAAAATATCGGCATATCGGATATCGACCAAAATCCCAATATCGTGCATCCCTAATTATATATTGTATGAAACTGTGTTATATCAAACTGGTCCTATAGTCACTCTATTACAGATGGAGTAATGTAAAAAAAAAAAGTAATTTCTCCCTGGGATTATTAAAGTATTTCTGGTTCTGATTCCTGGTTGATGGGACAGCTGTTGTGAATGAAACGGTGCCCAGCTTGAAGAGGCTCCTGTGTGTCGCTGAATGTGTGCATTGATGACTGAAAGACGTCTTCTTCCTCCATTTATCCGTTTACTACAGTGTTGAATTCATGTTAATGTTTATTTAAAGACATTTTAGTTAGTGGAAAAAAATGCAGGGGAGAATATAAAAAAAGTCTACTCAACCAAAACTTTCGCAGTAACTCCGAGGACCCCCTGTTGAAGACCTCCGCTTTAAACACAAAACTGCTTCATCATTATCATTACTGTTTAGTTTAATTTTCTCTGAAGGATCTCAATATTCCAAACTTGCTGGAAGGTGGTCTATAGGAATGAAAGCTGTGAACTAAACATTAAACATCCTCACTGAGTCCTTCTGTTTTCTCCATGTCTACAGGTGGTGATGGGAGGTTCTAAAGTTTGGGTGAAGGGTGCAACGATCAATCGACCAACTGACTGATCAACCAGCCTAATCTACTCCAGCAAAGCTATGAAAAGCCACTGTTCATGTTTTGAAGCACAGAGTCTGCAACCTTTTAGATCCTAAGTAACCAGATAAATAAAAGCTATTTAGAGCTGCAAATATCTTTAAAGAAAACAGATTTATTTATTTATTTTTTTATATTAGCCATAGGAAATCTTTTTTTATTTTACCAAACAACATTTTAATTTTTAACCCTTTAAAACCAAATGTCATGAGTAGAAGTCAGAAGTATTTATATCATTGAGAGCTCTACATCCGTGTGACCAGTTGAAAAAGAACATCTGTAAGAAATGCAGGGAAATACTTAAAGCTTCACAAATTACACAAAATAAATTTCCATTGTTCCAGTGTGCGCACTGGGCGCGACTCATGCCACGATTGCCTGCCCCCCACCCCCATCTTATTTTATTGTTTATCTCATAATACAGAAAAAAATGGCTTATCTATTTCCTTGTAAAAGACTTAAATTAGCTTGTTAATACAGAAAAAAAATAAACTTTATAAAATTTATTTTTGTAAAAATTATCTCATTAAATCAGAAAAACTGACCTAATTTTCTCCCCCCCCCCCCATGTGTGAGCATTCTGGAGTAAAGTGGGACTGGAGCAAAGCTCCCTCCTTATAAGTCAAACACTGATATATATATATATATATAACAAAATAACCATTAAAACCGATCATCGTAATATTGCTGATACATCTTTTTCCTGCAGACACACCCATCGACCCCTCATCTTAGTGAGCATTTTACATCAATGAGGGCAATGTTTTAACCTCTTCACATATAGAATATAACATTATTGGATTTAGTATTTTGTTCCAACAAAGATCTTTGTGGAAAGCTGTGGATTTCAAATTAAACAAATTAAAAAGGTTTATAACAGGATTGCAATTTTCATTTGTCACTGTTTTACCCAGGATTAGTTTATCCAAATAACACATAGAAATCCATCAGCAGATCTGCTCTGTGATGAAAAGAAAAAATAAGTAGAAAAAATGAATAAAACAGAGTTACATCTTACAACTCAGGCTGGATTCTGAAACAGAAAACCATGTGGTTTCTTTCTGCATCTGAGCTGCCCTGGAGATCTAATTTAGAACCACACTAACCTGACTTTGGGAGTTTAAAGCTGTGTTTATTTCTCCTCTAAAGATACTGATACCGGATCAAATGGAAGGTGATTCAGTCCAGCAGCACTGCTGTAGATTTACATTTGCCACAAACACTGACATTTAATACAGTAGTCATCCTCAGAGATAGGGAGACGACACTCATCGTCTCCTGCTTTATCTGGGTCCGAGTCATGGGGCGGCAGTCTCAGCAGAGACTCCCACAGTTTCCTCTCCCCAGACACCTCCTCCAGCTCTGCTGGGGGAAGCCTGAGAGGCTCCCAGGCCAGCAGAGACATAGGGACTCTAATGTGTCCTGGGTCATCCCCTGGGCCTCCCCCCCATGGGACATTCCTGGAACACCTCCTGAGGGAGGCATCCAGGGGGGGATATGTCCGATCCACCTCAGCTGACTCTTGTCGATGAGGAGAAGCGGCTCTAATCTGAGAGTCTCCTGAATGACCGAGCTCCTCATCTCCATCATATTGGAGCGAACCCCCTCGACTGATCTTTCGTTGTAGTTATCCATTGTAGTTGTTCCTCGGTTTTTAAAAATGGCGCGTCCCGGCGCCGAATCGAGAAGTACGACAACACGGACAGCCAGAAAGGCATACCAAGGACCAATCGCAGCTGCTTTTTGTCTGCGCATTTCAGCTTGAGGTCTGCACCGGTTTGCAACCGTCCGATGCGTGGCCAGGATTTTTTTGAGGTGTGCGACGATGGTTGCAGAACCTCTGCGTGGGGGGCGTGGACGTGCAACAGAGACCGATTTGACAGTTGCAGAGGCTATGCGTGAGAAGCATAAATTGACCTCAACTCTCCCCCAATATATAGGGGATAAGTCGCTTTTTTCTGATCGAGAACCATCGCCTCAAACTTGGAGGAGCTGATTCTCATCCTCAGTGCATGCTGGGTAGATCTTGGCAGGATGGAGCCAGCAGAACCACGTCATCCAGATAAAGCAGGGACGAAATACGCCGGATGTCCCTCCGGCCCTTGGCTACGCCTAGAAATGCTGTCCATAAAGGTTATGAGGACTGGTGACAGAGGGCAGCAGTGTTGGAGTCTGACTTAATGCCAGCAAGACAGACTAAACCCTGCTCCGCTTCTACAGAGACCGAATGGCCCCTAGTTAAGGGTCCATGACGCTTTACTCCTGTAGCCCCCACCATGAATTTCTTTAATTAGCTTTATTTATTCACCTTTGTAATAACTACCTTATTTTTTTATTGTCATTTATTACTTATTTTTTGAAGTATTTATGTGAATGATATAATATTTTTGTCTGTTTTAGTCTTCCTTTGTATCTTTTTTTTACCCTATTTATTTCTTGAATGGTATTTATTTCTGCTTGTTGTTTTTGCATTTCTGTATGCATTTCTGCCAATGAGGAGGGGTGTGTTTTATAATTTAATTTCTACCTACATTTATTTGTTTATTGTATTTTGGCGGGGAATTAATTGTATGTTTATTTATTTATTGAGCATTTATTTATGTATTTATTTTTTAAATATGGCAGAGTTGGTCCTCCATATTAAGGGGTTTCATTGGCATTAATGGTAATATTACCAAGGTTTATGTGCAAACCAAAATATTTACATTCCAGGAAATTATCTCTACAGTGTATGTTCACTCAGAAAGCTTTACAAAAAATGTATTTATGATTTTAGTTCCTCCACAGGCACCGAAAAACCAACGCAAAGCGCAGAGAGAGAAACAGCCTTGCGAAATATCACCTTACTTCACCCTCTGCATGCTTCACCTTTAGCTTCCGCCTGGCTGCAGGTTTGACAGCTCCAGTTTCCATCGATTAAACTTGTTAGTTCTACTGAAAAAAAGTTATTAAATCTATTTAAAGTGACTCACTTGGTGTTGCAGGATAGTTTGATGCACTATCCGGGCATAATTGTCCAGTTTAACCCCAGAATTGCTTCGACTTCTCATGTTAGCAAAAGGGGGCGGGGTTCTGGCTTCTTCAGGCGAGGACACAGAGTTCGGAGGAGAAACCCTCTAAGTTCTGGACAGAAAGCTCATTTCTGCTGCGCTGCGCTGAAATGCGGCCAGTCCGGGAGATAAGAAGGACCTGGGAGGCTGAGAGACACGAACAAGCTGCAGAAGCAGCTGGAGACTCAGCGAAACCAACTGAAACCCGAAGCCGCGCGGAGGACGTCACCGGAAGCAGCTGTTATACCGGCTCACGCCTTCAAAATAAACTATGGAGGACCAACTCTGCCATATTTAGAAATAAAAGCAGAAATAAATAAATGCTGCATAAATAAAAAAAAGCAGTGGTGTTACTTAAGTAGAAGTATAAATACTGCAGTTTAAAAACACCCTGGTAAAAGTTGAAGAATCAACTTGACCTCTTTACTCAAAAGTGAAAAAGCATGTGCTCAAAAAACGACTTAAAGTATAAAAGTATAAAGTAACCTTTAAAAAAAACAGCCAGATGCCACTATATGAATTGAAAGCTATTTGTTTTTACTATTTCTGAAAATTATTTGAGATAGGGCCAAGGATGAGGAGGTCTTGTTGGTCTCCATCTCCCGATAAGCTCTTGCCTGTGTCCGACCTTTCAGACATTTCAACATCTTTTTCTGAATCCGACGTTGTAGCATGGTATAGACAATTCATGTTTGCAGTTTGAAGAACACCTGCTTGCTTCTGACGGTTTCCTTTAGCTAACCAATGAGTGTTTGCGTTATATGACTCATCCAATTACACTAGTTTTCACTAGATGTGGATGGCGACAATGATCTGCATTGGATGGCGCACATGGCGTGAAATAAGTATTTATAAAAATTAAACCGAAGCCAAGTGTAACAAGTAACGTTTGTTTTAAAAATGTAAGGAATAAAAAATTCAGATACTTGTATGAAAACTTAATGAGTAGAAGTCAGAAGTAGGAAGAAAAATAAGTAATGGAGTAAAATATAGATACCTAAAAAGTATACTTAAGTACAGTAACGATGTATTTGTACTTTGTTACTTGAGACCTCTGTAAATAAGCATGCAATTATTTCGCCCCCCAAAATAGAATAAACAAATAAATGTAGGTAGAAATTAAATCATACATTGAAGTCAGTAGTGGTTCTAAACGAAATTTACCAAAGGGGGGGGCAGGGTGGGCGTGTGTTGGTTTTATGGGACTGCAGAACAAAAGAATAATAAATTAAAAAATTTTTAAAAAGTGCATTGTTTAATATATTGAGTGACCCACAAAGCCAAGGTAACAGATTCATAATGAAACAGATAGAAACTGTGATCTATCGTCACACTGCTGAAGCTTAAAGCTGCGTGTTATTTATAATAAATTGTTAAATTGAATTGTTAAGGCGAAATATTCAGCTTGTCCAGGGAACAAATAACTATCAGTCTGTTCTGTTAGTGCATATCATTATAACATATTTATTTAGTCTTACACTGCAAAAACGGATGCAAAAGCTGAAAAATGTATTAAAATAAGTGTACTTGTCCTTAATTCTAAAAAAGTTTAATAAAACAATCCACTGAACTTTGTTTCCAGGTTTGAAGACATTCCGCTTCCCATCCAGGATTTTTTTTTTGGTGTTTTTTTAACTTTTTTTGAATAACTATAACCTGGATGACTGAGAATCGTCACCAGAACTTTCCCTTAATATGAGCAGATTAATAAGATGATCTACCATAGGACTGAGTATTTTTGCTCTTATAAATATATAATTAGGTGTGATGCTCTTGAAATAAGGTAAAATATGTTTTTTTTTTATTTTAAAGATAAATAATCTTAATTTATTGAAAATTATCTAACTTACCTGCTCAAATGAAAGGAAAATACACAGACTTTTAAGAAAAAATGACTTATTTAGATGATAAAAAATATTGCAGCGTAAGTTTTCAGTACAGGGGCCATAACAGGGACCAGGATCAGTTCTCCAGCGTACCCCCGTTGGCCCCTCTCTAGAACTGCCCATGGCTGAAGTGAATTGAATTTGAAGAATGTGATAAAAACATTTCTCAAAACAATATTTTATTTGGATAGTTAGCAAACAGAACTCTTTTTATGTATTTTTTTTTTCGGTAAATATCATATCTTGTCATTAAAGGGAAGAAAAGTATAACAAACTTAAAGCGTAGGAAACTAAAAGACTACAGAAGGATCCCAGAATGCATCGTTGTCTTCGTCCGTTCCTGCTCGGAAACCCTTTCCGCGATAAAACGTTCCTATCTCGTATCAATATTAAATAAAATATACACAATTCATATTTTAACAAATCACAACATCTGAACTATATATATGGACTTATTTCATAATCTCATATAATTATTTGCGATTTTTCGGTTTGTTTCTTTGCAAGTTTAAGGTTAGCTTTGGTTCGTTCCTCCAGGGGGGAATGTTGACGGTGTAACACCGACCCAGAGACCAGAGAGCCATAGCTAACAGTTTGCTGTTAAACACGTCCAAATAGGTTGTTTTTTATAATATTCTGACTTTAGTCAAATGAGTGGCCGAGAGGACAGTGATGAGAGCAGCAAACGGAGGGTGGCTTATGTCTACAGTCCGGAGTACATCGAGACTTGCGACACTTTATCCAAAGTCCCAAACAGGGTGAGATGCTTTAGCTTCCGTTTGCTTTCATTCACATGCAGACAGATGGAGGTTTAAACCGGATTCTCTCTTGTTCCCCATGAACAGGCGAGTATGGTCCACTCCCTGATCGAAGCATACGGACTGGTACAACACATGAGGTGAGTTTTATTTCTATTTTATTAAACTTCAGAGTCAGGGAAATGCATTGGAAAATAAAGAGGCTGGGATATACGGAAGACGATTAGGGCCACTGACAAAAAAAAAAAGTTAACAGATTTTTAAATTTATTTCAGTATAAAATGGGAGAAAAGTCAGAATTCTGACTTTAATATCAAAATTCTGATTTTTTTTTCCATATTATACTAAAACAAAATTTAAAAATCAGTTAACTTTTTTTTTTAGTAGCCCTTATAGTCTTCCGTACTATGATCTCTTCCTTCATTATCACAATTCTGAGACCAAGTCAGAATTCTGACTTTTCTCCCATATTGAAATAAAATTTTTAAAAAATAGTTGACTTTTTTTTGTTGTCGTCTTTTTTTAGTAGCCCTAATCGTCTTCCGTTCTACAATCTCTTCCTTCATAGTCACAGTTCTGAGATTAAAGTCCGAATTATGAGAAAAAAGTCAGAATTATTAGGATTAAAGTCAGAATTCTGACTTTTCCCTCATTTTATACAGAAATAAAATTTAAAAATCAGTTAACTTTTTTTTTAAAGTTGCCCCTATTTTCTTCCGTACTATGATCTCTTCCTTTATGGTTAGAATTCTGAGATTTAAGTCAGAATTATGAGAAAAAAGTCAAAATTCTGAGATTAAAGTAAGAATTCTGACTTTCCCCCCATATTATACAGAAGTAAAATTTTAAAATGTTACTTCTGTTAAAAAAAAAAAAAGAATATTAAGGTAAGATATTTTTCTCTGGAACTTTTTTTTCTAACTTTTAACAACAAAATATTTTAAATATGAACATCTTCCGTATTGCAGCCAGATCAGATATCCGGTTTTGAAAATGAGTCAAAGTCAAATTTAGTAGGGGGTGGTTGCTGCTAACACGTCAAATATTATTTTTGTTATTTATTGTTGTAAATATACTTAAAAATGTGGATAATCAAACTTTTATTGGATTGCTAAAAAGAAAGAAGTTAGAATTTCTTTTTTCCCACAAAATTTCATGTTTATGAACACACAACAATGTGTTTTACTATTTCAACTATCTACTATGATAACAGAACTATAATGTTGGATTTTAACATGTTTTTCACTTAAAAACATGCATGCTGTAAAACAGCCCATTGGTTATTAGCTAAGCCTTGTTTTTAGGACACTATTGCTGTTTATAAAGCTTTAGATCACTAGAACTCATAAAAATCGGTCAATTTGAAAAAAAAAAAAAATCAATACATAAAGATCGACCTGATTATTTCATAATGTATTTTAAAGAGGACTCCAGCAAACTGTCCAATTGGCATTAGAAGACATTTATTGCAACATTTCAGCTCTTGACCTTCATCATCCCTTTTCTCTTATGCACCTATGTTATATAGATGTGCAAAGTGCTTTATTAAATTATAATAGTATATTTATACATTTTAAAAGCTGCTGAGTTAATACCACATCAGAAATAACCACCCTGATAGAGCAGAAACAAGGAAACATTTCTATTTCTCCCTCTTGTTTTGTTTTTCTTGTCTTTTCCCGCAATGTGCGATTCCTTTAAAAGAAAAGGATCCAGAGAGTCTTATGACATAGACCAGGGGTGTCAAACCGGTTCCAGAAAGGGCCGTGTGGCTGCATGTTTTCTTTCCAACCAAGCAATAGCACACCAGACTCCAGTCATCTCATCAAGTCATCATGTTCAGATTGGACTCACTTGATGAGATGACTGGAATCTGGTGTGCTATTGCTTGGTAGGAAAGAAAAGCTGCAGCCACACGGCCCTTTCTGGAACCAGTTTGACACCCCTGACATAGACTAGGGGTGGGTATTGCCAAAGAAGTCACGATTCAATTCGAATCACGGTTCACAGGCCACGATGCGATTCTATCACGATGCATCACGATACTTTAATTATTGCGATGCATTGCAATATTTTATCCTCCATGTTTTGTTTTTGAATGACTCGGCACAGTATCCCGCGGCCGGAAATGCTTGTGACACAAGGCAGCGTGCGTCAACACATTTGCAGTGACATCTACTGGACTGGAAGTTGTATTAGACTTGTTTTTGGCTGATGTTTGCAAACCATTCATTCAATTTTATTTATTCATTTTTTTAGATTAATAATCGATTCTTGGCATCAAGAATCGATGCAGTAGATCACGAAAATTAGAATCACGATGCATCATCATCACGATTATTTTGCACACCCCTAACATAGACGCATCTAAAAAGGTGCAGGACGCCACTCTTTGAGGACTAGCATTTAGATTACCCGCTCTAAACTGTATTTAGTAATGAATTTAAAGAATGTTTTCGTTTTATTTATAACTACTGCATTATTCAATACCAATAGATATTGTGATAAATGTTTAAGTCCATATCTCCCATCTCCACAAATAGCTGCCTCAAAACCTTTAACTGAAACACAAACTAACCATAGTTTGGTTAAAA